AGTGATTTGTTGCGCAAATCAGTTAATATGAGAAACGCCGAGAATATCATCGGAAAGATATATATTATCATTAATAGTATTCCTGTCGACGGATAGGTTTCCGACGTGAAGAACGATCCGCTGAATATAGGTTTTGTCCAATCGATGGGCAGCGAGAAAGAGACCGGATTGAGGCCGTCTTCGGCGCCAATTTTGCGCATAAATTTGAGTAAACCGTCGATGAAGTAGAGGTACCGGACGTATACCGATGTGATTGTGTTTGAGTGGTCGACGTATTCGCGGATTACACTGTTGTTCAACACTTCGATATCGGCGTTGAAAGGATCGGGCAGTCGAGCCCTCATATTCTCCGAGTAGTTGACCGGATAGATGAGCGCAAACATGTTTTTGCCGGCGACCACCGAATCAATGGCCGCCTGTTTTGCCTCGTAATACGTGGGACTCAATAACGATTCATTGATTGAATGTATAAATTGTTGGGACATATTATACGTGTCTCTGTCGGCGCCCGTATATAAGCCGACCCGAACTCTGAGCGGTACTCCACCGACACTCATACTGAACCCGTATATAGTAATGACCGGTAATATGAAAAACAAGATCAACGATATATACACTCCTTTCAATTGAATGTAACTTTTGTAAAACAGGGCTCTCATGTGACTTATGTCGACATATCTGTGCCGATGGGCGCCACGAGTGTTGAGCAATAAATGTCTTCGCGGTTTCATCGTTGTGTCCACCACTCGAGCTGATCCCTGATTCACTTGTTTGTCGCCGCCTTTGAGTTGTTTGTAGTGCTGTTGCGTTAGTTTGAGAAACACTTCCTCTAAAGTTTGACAATTGTATTCATCGATCAATTTGTGTGGATTTGATTGTCGAAGAAGTGATCCATTGCTTACAAAACCCACATTTGACGCGTTCTTCGCCTCTTCGATATAATGTGTTGTAATTAATACTGTTATCCCTTTCAGTGTTATAAAATATAAAATAAATTTATGATTACAAAATACTTGATAAAAAAATAATTAAACAAAAAGTAAGTAATAATATTAAAAAAATTTTACTTAATTAAATGTCAAGCATTTTAATTCACCACTTTAAAAGTGCTTTTAGTGTTGACACTTCTAATAGACTAAGTTAGCTCTTTTGATCTTGATTAATGTAAATTATATTTACATTTACATGTTAAAGTTTATTTGTCAATATGTTTGTCTGTTTTAAAATGTCTAATTAAATTTAATTCTTACCATAATTTTTGCAAATATTTTCCAAATACGTCCAAATCCTATGCCTGAGGATAGAGTCGACACCAACTGTGGGCTCATCCAGTATAAGAAGTCTCGGTCTGTGCACTATTGTGGACGCCATCGACACCAGCCTCTGCTGTCCACCACTTAATTCATTGATTTTTCTAGACTTTTGTGGCAAATCCAACAATTCAATCAACTGTTCAATTCGGTGATCAATAATCTCTTTCTTCATTTTATAAATAGTTCCGAAATAGTGAAGGCATTCATCGATAGTAAAAGCGTCAAAGAGAGCGATCTCTTGAGGCATATACCCGACACCCGGACCGGGAATGTCCAGGTCTTTGTGTCCCGGCTCTAAACCAAACACACGAATACAGCCATCATTTGGCTTAACTCTTCCTAATATTATCTTAAGGAGACTCGTCTTTCCGCACCCATTGGGACCCAAAAGTGCAAAGATTTTGCCTTAAATTTAATTGAAATAATTATCAAAAATTAAGAAAAATAGTGCCAATTATTAGATCATACCCTGGATTACATGGAGATTGAAGTCTTTCAATACGACAGCCTTTTTATGGTAAGAAAAGTTGACATTTTCAACAGTTATGGCATTTATTACATCGTTATTGCAATCGTCTAATAATTCAATTGACGGAAAACTTTTAAAATCAGTATTCATTTTTAATTAAAATATTTTAATTAAATATTTTATTTAAATAGATTTGCAATTTATTAGCTAGATTTTTCCCTAAAAAACTCTATCAAAATAGGAGTCTATGAATAAATTTATAATTTTAAGATTTAATTATTTTATTTAAATAAATATTTAATCCTTATTGTGACAGATTTGCATTTAATTGAAAAACCTTTCAATTGTGTTAAACAAATAAATGTGTAAAATAATTTACCGTAACATTTTGCGGTGACATTGAATTCACAAATAATTGATTTGTGATTTGTTTTTGTACATCTCTTTTTGAAATGTGTTTTTATATAAAGAGATATACAAAAAATTGTACATTTAATTATGGACTTTGAGTTCAGTAGGTATTTGATTGTCTGCTAACAAACGAAATGACACTTAAATAAATGGATGTCTTATTTAAATATTTTTCAACGCATACATGAATTCATAAATAAAATTTAAAATTATTTAAATCTTATTAATAAGTTGTTGACGTAATTTCAATGACTATTTATTTTATTGATTTTTGTACCAATATTTTTTGACCAAAAAACTCATTTTAATATTAAAACATAAATTAGAGAGAGAGAGAGAGAGAGAGAGAGAGAGATTTAATCGTAAAATAATGAGCAAATAATAAAATAGTATTATTTCTGTTGTTTTTATTATTAATTTAAAGAAATTAACTTAATTTTAAAAGGTTTTAATTATTAAGACACAAATGAATTTTTAAATATTTTTTTGAAAATAAAATATAAATGTGCAAAAAATCACACGACCTTAAGTTGGGATTAGTTTAATACTATTCAAAAATAAATAAATGAAAATCAGCAAAACTAATAAATAAAATTAACAACTAATTGATATTAACAATTAATTTGTGATTAAATTTAAATGTTAAATAACATATACAATAATATTTGAAAATTTACATTATTAAAACATCACACAACTAGCACAATAAATAATGATCATATCATAGGTGAGCGTAAATCCAATCGACATAATTGGCAACATTGGTATAGACGCCGGCCTTTTCTGGTCGCCCGCAGCCGAAGCCTTTCGACACGATTCCAATCAATACATATGTATTGCCGTCAAAACATTTAACAAGAGGTCCGCCGGAATCGCCCTTTAAATCACAATTAATTAAAACAATAGATTATTGCATTTAAATAAGTGACATTTTTTTATAAAGTATATAATAAACTTTACACTGCAGGCATCCTTTCCTCCCGACGCAAAACCGGCGCAAATCATGTTATCAGTAATTTTATACACTTTTGGCAAATGCTTGTATTGTTTGCGGCACTTGTTTAGTGAGATCATAGGTATGTCTACAGTCCTGAGAAGTGATGAATGAGTGGCCGTATCGGTGACCCCCCAACCCATTACTGTCAGCGCATCGCCAACTGATAATCGGTTTGATTTTGTGGGCAAACAAATTGAGCCCGAGTTTAGTCGACCCAACACTAGCCGTCGGCTTAATTGAATGATTGCGATGTCGTTATCTATGGTTTGAGTGTTATATTGGGAAT